TCGAAGGCTTTGGCATAGTCAATAAAGCAGAAATAGATGTTTTTCTGGAACTCTCTTGCTTTTTCGATGATCCAGCAGATGTTGGCAATTTGATCTCTGGTTCCTCTGCCTTTTCTAAAACCAACTTGAACATCTGGAAGTTCACGGTTCACATATTGCTGAAGCCTGGCTTGGAGAATTTTGAGCATTACTTTACTAGCGTGTGAGATGAGTGCAATTGTGCGGTAGTTTGAGCATTCTTTGTACTCTCCTACTCCTACTCTATTCCAGGAGCTCTAGCCAAAATTCCTCTGAAACACCAGCTCTGACACCTTCGCACCTTGGCGTGTAATGGTGCCGCTGTCTGAGAGAAGTCCTCAAATCCCAAAAGCCACACACCTGGCAAATTTCTATTCAACCTTCAAGCCTCAGCTTGGAAGCCTTTCCTAATCTCCTGCAAAGTTTTCATACTGCCTTCTCTCTGTTTTCATAATACCTGGAACTTATATTTACTCATGACAAACATGATATTTCCACGTTATCTCCACTACTGACTCAAAAGGAGGGATCTTCTATCAGCAGCCTAGCACCATGCCTCAAACATTTTTTTGACCTACGAAGTCATTTAGGGCCTGCCACTGAAATTCTTCTTCCTCCTGGCTCAATGACTTTCAATGAAAATGGTTTCCTACTAGTACTATCAGATGATTCTTTATACAAGGTCCAGACCTCCTCAGGCTTAGACAACACATAAGTACAACTGAGGCACTTTCCTTGGTGATCCAGTGTTTTTTAAGACTCCGCACTTCCAATGCAGGGGATGCAGGTTCAATCCCTCATCAGAAACTAAGATCCCACAGGGTAACAGGGAGTGGCCAAAAAGTAAAAACAAACAAAAAAAACGTAAGTGAGCAAAGCCCTACAGGGCCTTCCAGAACAGAGACCCCTCCCATGTCCTTCACTTGCCTGTTGTCTGTAGAAAAACTTTATCCTCTAGGTCTTCCCCAAGTTCCAAAGAACTAATTTAATAAGAGAAGTGAGAAAGTGCAGAAATAAAACAGCCAAATGATAAAATAACAGTCTACCGATTCTGAACCATGTTTTTTGAGCTGTTTTGCAGGTACTGAAACCTCCACCAGGGGGAAGTTAACTACACGATGCCGACAAGCAGGTAGACTCCAACTGACTGGAATGACTGTCCATGAGGAGATCACACACCCACAATCCCCCTCCCTCTTCCTTTCTTTAAAACCTTTCCTTGAAAGCCTCTGGAGAGTTGAGGCCTTTTAAGCACTAGCTACCTAGGCTCCTTGCTTGTGTGTGTTAGTCCTCAGTCCTCTCCGATGTTTTGGGACCCCATGGACTGTAGCATGCTAGGCACCTCTGTCCATGAAATTCTCCAGGCAAGAAGACTGGAGTGGGTAGCCATTCCCTTCTCCAGAGGATCAAACCTGAGTCTCCTACATTGCAGGCAGATTCTTTACCATCTGAGCCAGCAGGGAAGCTTTGCTTGGTACCCTGCAGTAAACACTGCACTTTCCTTCACCACAACCTGTGTCAGGAGATGGACTTTATTGTGCTTTATTGTGTAGACCCAAGCTTGTTTTGGTAACAAGGACTCACTAAAAGGTGTGTCACCTTATGTTATGAAAAGGGAAAGTAAGGAGGGGAAAAAAGCTAAATATCCATTCTACATTATCAACAAGTTACACAATCTATAGACAAAAGACTATTTGGCAAATCCAAAGACTATTTAAAAAAAAAAATCAGTGGACTATCATGTCTGTAAGGTTTAATACACAAAAACAGGAATCATGGGACACTAAAATACAATCACAAAATACATTAGTATGCAAGCATAAATGAAGATGCTGTTCCTGAGGATGAAGTAATGTATTAATAGGAAAAGAGATTCTACAGCATCAAGTTAAAATAGTCTGTTTGCATATGGTATTTGTTACCATACTTAGTAATTTTTCCTGAATTAGAAACTTCAATTCAGATTTGTGTTATATTCAATATTCTCAGAAAAGTATCAAATATGAATCAGGTCAATATGTTCATCATTGATTAATGTCAGTCCCTACAGTCATTTTTGCTTTTTTCTCTTTATATTGAATAGATCACCTCAGGCTATCTATCTAAACACTCATTTCTACCACAAGATTTACGTCACAAGTTCTAAGATGAGCTATTTATCTAAGTTTTTAAAATTCATCTAGCGTTTAACTTCATTCAAGAAAAAAGCTTGGCAAAAAAAAAAAAAAAAGCTTGCTAGAAAAAAATGCTCAGTAAATAAAGATACTCTTAAAGGTCAACTGGAAAAGTACCTTCCAATTCCTTGTTCTGCTAACATTTAGTGAAGCAACACAAGGAACTGGCTATTGGAAACATGACAATGGGTAACACAAGATCCCCAGCCTCAGGAAAATTGGGACCTTTAACAACCCTGCATATCAAAACAACAAACATTTCCTTCATAACATTGTCAAGCTTCTGACAGCCAAAATGTAAAGAGTGTGTATCTAGTATATACTTTTGGGAGATGCACCAAAGTAGTGATGATACCCTTCTTGGCTACTGCCAGTTAGATAGGAAGAAATTTTTTTAAGAGAGCTTTTTGCTAACATGATTAGGCCATTTCTATCCCACAATCCCAGGTGAAAGTAAGAACACATGATAAACAACATAGCAACAACTTTGCCTCCTCTTCTTCACACAAATCAAGATGTGACTATTGCTTAACATCTAAAATATTTTCTAATTCCGATTCAGAAGGGAAAAGGGCATATGGCTTTGAGAAATACAAATGAAAAAAAAAAATCAGGAGTTCACAATTTAAACAAACCTATTAAATACTTCCATGAACTGGCAGGAAGCAAAAGAAACCAACACATAAAAGTTTATACTGTATGATTCCAATCAGTCAATTTAAAAGACAAAACTAATCCATTCTGTTCTAAGTCAGGATAGTAGGTACTCTTAGAAGTGAAAAAGGCATGAGGAGGGCTTCTCATATGCAGGTCATTTCTTGATTTGGGTGCTGCTTATATGGGTATATTCAGGTTTTGAAGAATTCACTAAGATCGTTCATCTACAGTACACATTTGTCTTTGTGCCACAATTATTACACATCAATAAAGCCTTTTAAAAACTCTCCATAAACTTTCAATTATACTAGAAATGTCAAGTGGGCTTTTCACTTGTGGGAAAAAGCCAACTGGACTTTAGTCAGAGGACTTGCCTGAGTCCCAAGTCTTCTATGATCTTTAATGACTAACTTCAAATTTCTGAGCCTGTCTTTTCATCCATCACATCACATGATCCACATGAGAATTCAATTCAATTAACAAGAATTTATTGTCTACGACTGTCTTTTAGGTAATGGGGTGAAAAGCAGTGAGCAAAAAAACGACAATCCCTGCTTCATGCTGTCTCTATCCTTATCAGTGGACACAAACAAGAAACAAAAGAAATAAAACACAGCATCTCCTATGGTGACAGGTGCTACAGCAAAGAATTAAGCAGGAAAGGGGAACTGAGGCAGCAATAACTGTAAATAAGGAGCTCATATGCTGTGCTGTGCTTAGTCGCTCAGTCGTGTCTGACTCTTTGCAACTCCATGGACTGTAGTCCGCCAGGCTCCTCTGTCCATGGGGATTCTCCAGGCCAGAATACTGGAGTGGGTTGCCATGCCCTCCTCCAGGGGATCTTCCCAACCCAGCGATCGAACCCAGGTCTACCGCACTGCAGGCGGATTTTTTACCTACTGAGCCACCAGGGAAGCCCAAGAAAACGTAGTGTGTAGACTATTCTTTCTCCAGGGGATCTTCCCGACCCAGGAATACAACTGGGATCTCCTGCATTGCAGGCAGATTCTTTACCAGCTGAGCTACCAGGGAAGCCCAAGGAGCTCATGGAAGGCCTCAATATAACAGTGACCTGAATCAGGTGGGGAAGGCAATACCAGGAGTAAATGTATCCCACTTAGAGTCTACATAATTTACTGCACTTGGAAATATACAAATGCAAATTAGAATGAGTTCAGGTTCTAAAGAAAATAAGTCACATTAGAAGATGAAGGCTTAAAAAGCTGCCTCAAACCCATGCTCTAAGACTTTGGGAGACGAATAACTGAATAACTTTCCAGACGTAATTAAAGAAAGTTCAGCGACCGTGCTTTAAAGGGTAAAACGGACAGCTTTCTTCGGTACCACTAGAGAACGACGAAATGCAAATTCACACCGCCTGTGTGCCACTTCCGGCACCAAAAGGCCTCAGGAATTTCAGAAATTAGTCCGAAAAAACAGGAGGCTGTCTTTCTTTTCTGGCAGTCATTAAGGCCCAGTAATTTTACTTTCCTCTACAGTAAGTTTTCATGCCTCCGCATCCTTCTCAATCGTGCACACATTACACACGGTGACAGGAATAAAGATTAGTCGCTCTCGCCAGAGGGAAAGAAAGGCCTACACCTGGGCGAACACCGAGGTGAAGGGGGCGAGAGATTGAGGTTCTCGTGTCTGCCTGGCTGTAGCATCCTAGAAGGCCTCCAGTGAACTGCGTGGACCAAGGTACGCGGGAGCCGCACGGCGCGGCCCGGTACCTACCCGGCACTCGGTCGCATTCGGAGGCCGTCTTTTTCCCGCCCCGCTGGTAAAAGCCGAGGTGCCGGCTACAACCAAGGGTGCAAAGGCTTTACGTCGCTACGCTCTGTCTCCGAGGACGCCCTACCGGTGAGCTTAACCTAAAACTGTTTCGCTTTGTCTCCGTCGGCACCGCACTTCGCCACTTCCGGCAGCGCGCCACTCAAAGGCTGCCGGCTAGCAACTTCCGCCCTCTTAGCTGAAAGTGGAGAAAGGAAGCTCGGAACGGTAGCGTCGCGGTTTTTCTGGAGTCTGTCGAGTTAGAAGAGACCCTTTCCTGTCGCGGGTGGTGCGGAGTCGTCTCGTGGGTCTCTGAGAGCCGAAAATTGAGACCTTCGCGCCGCGGAGACTGCACCCGGCGGCTCGGCAGCCGTCACCATGGTGAGGAAGTCGCCTCTGGCGCTCGGGACCTAGGGCGTCGGAGGTGGCGGGGCCTGGGGTCCCATAGGCTCTGGGCCTGGCGGTGAGGGGTGATAGGCGGAAGTAAGGTGCTGCTGAGGGAATGAGGGTAGACTCCATGGGGTGCGCTCTTGCTCAGTCGTGTCCGACTCTTTGCGACCCCGTGGACTGCAGTTCGCCAGGCTTCCCTGTCCTTCACCAACTCCTGAAGCTTGGTCGAATTCCTACCCCTTGAGTCGGCGATGCCATCCAACCGTCTCGTCCTCTGTCGCCCTCTTCTCCTGCCTTCAACCTTTCCTAGCATCAGGGGCTTTTCCAATGAGTCCGTTCTTCGCATCAGGTGACCAAAGTATTGGAGTTTCAGCTTCAGCATCAGGCTTTCCAGTGAATATTCAGGACTGATTTCCTTTAGGATGGACTGGTTGGGTCTCCTTTCTATCCAAGAGACTCTCCAACACCACAGTTCAAAATCATTAATTCTTCGGCGCTTAGCCTTCTTTATGGTCCAGCTCTCACATTCATACCCTGGAGTCAAAATAACCTCACTTTTGGTCGGTGGAGTATTTGCCTGAGCACAGGCTTTTGGAGTCAGACTGGTTTCACTCTGCTGAATTCCTGACTTCACCTAAAGTTGTGTGGCCATCAGTTCCAGATCGTAGTGATAACTCTGTACACTAGTCTTTAATCCCGCATCAGTCCTCATCTCGACCGAGGAAACTGAAGGTATGCCCTGCCGACGGCCAAGCAGCTGGATTTATAGCCCAGATCTGACTGCCAGATCTTTTGTCTTTCTACTAAGTACCTAATATGTGTTTCTCTGCAAAGTGTCAAATCCACATACCCTTTTCACGGTTGCTGCCAAATTTATGTGATAGCAGTTTAAAACACCACACAATACAAAGCATCTTGTTGATTGTTACACTTAGAATTATTTTCCGTGTTGTTGGAGTTGGCCTCACACCACTGTTTTATTTTTATAATCTTAAAATACAAATTAACGGGCTTCCCTGGTGGCTCAGAGGTTAAAGCCTCTGCCTGCAATGCGGGACACCTGGGTTCGATCCCTGGGTCGGGAAGATCCCCTGGGGAAGGAAATGGCAACCCACTCCAGTATTCTTGGCTGGAGAATCCCATGGACGGAGGAGCCTGGTGGGCTAGTGCACGGGATTGCAAAGAGTTGGACACGACTGAGCGACTTCACTAGACTTGGGCCACACGTTTATAAATAAAACTGGCATATAAAAGAAAACAGGCGCTTAAGAAGCAAAAGAGGATCCCATACATTACTAATGAAACGAAAAATAGTACAGCCGCCTTGAAAACAGTTTGGCATATGTTGGAACAAAGACTGGGTACACGTTTATTCACCGAAAACTGGAAACAAGCTAAATACTTGTCAACTGGTAAATGAGTAAACAAACGGTGGTAAAAATAAAATGACTTATCAAAAGAATTGAAGTATGCATTCATACAGCAATGTAGGGGAATCTCAAAAGCCTTATGCTAAGTGAAAGCTAGATGCAAAGGGCTGCAAACTGCAGATTCCATTTACTTTTCATTTTGGGAAAGGCAAAACTAGAACAACAGATGCCAGGTTGGAGGTGGAAAAGGATGATTTACTTCAAAGTGACACAGAACTTTCTGGGGTGTTGGAAATTTTGACTTTGGTTACAGCTCTGTGGTATAGCTTGTGAAAACTTACAACTCTTTACCTACATGCACATATCTTTGTATGTATGTAAATCATACTTTAATAAAACTGGATAAATTTAAAAATTTTTTTAAAAGTATGAATGATGATTATATTGAAAAACCAGATATTGATGTTCAGAAAAGAGTGATTCTAGAATCAGATCATCTCTTTTGTGGTCTAGTGGATTTTGGACAGTTCTCTTCAGTGAACAGTAACTTTCACTGAGTTTATTACTGAAGTAAATCCTGACACCTTATGTCATACAGGATTAAAATTTATTTAACTTACATCACATGATTAGACTTAATGGGGCAAGAGTTAATCAAGTGAGCAGTGGATGATATACGACAATCTATACTTCACATGCTGCTCACAAGAAAGTATTTTAAAATAATTCTTTCAGTTTTTTTTTTAAATTAAACACTTCTTGCATTGTTACAGCCACAAAATGAATATATCGAGTTACACCGTAAGCGCTATGGATATCGTTTGGATTACCATGAGAAAAAGAGAAAGAAGGAAGGTCGAGAGGCTCATGAACGTTCAAAGAAGGCAAAAAAGATGATTGGTCTGAAAGCTAAGCTCTACCATAAACAGCGCCATGCTGAGAAAATACAAATGAAAAAGACGTAAGTACCATTTGTTGTACCAAGTTAGTGTCTTTTGAGTATTAGTTGTTAAAACTGATAATCTTGAGTCTTCCTCCTTCTTGGTAGTATTAAGATGCATGAAAAGAGAAACACCAAACAGAAGAATGATGAAAAGACTCCACAAGGAGCAGTACCTGCATATCTACTGGACCGAGAGGGACAGTCTCGAGCTAAAGTACTTTCCAATATGATTAAACAGAAACGAAAAGAGAAAGCGGTAAGCAGTAAAAAACTGGTGTTTATTTTGTTGTTGTTGTACACGAGAATTACTTAAATTCATATTTGAGGTTCTTAGTTTCTTCAGTTAAATGGAAAAATAAAGTCCAACTGTTACCATTTTTTAGATGTTGAAGTCTTTCATATAAAATGTTTTAGTAATAAAAAAAGGTTTGCTTTCTTACCATGAGAACATTCAGCAGGATTTAATATTTTTTTTTAAAGAATGTCATGCATCTTTAGTTTTCAAAAATTATTTAAGGTAATTTCCTGCTGATCCAGTGGTTAGGACTCTGCACTTCCACTGCAAGGGGCACAAGTTCAGTCCCTGGTCAGGGAACTAAGATCCCGCATATCATGGGCAGAAAAAAGAAATTGTTTAAAACAGCTTCTTATACTTGACAGCTCCTAATGTTGTGGTGTTGTAGAGAGGGATACAACTGCTTGTTTTTGTTGCTTTGCAGTGCCAAAACTGGTTAAAAAAGTAGCATAGTGGAAAGCATCCTAAGTGATTTGACTCAGATAAAAATTCAGAAATTAAAAAAAAAAAAAGTTTCTGGCTTGCCCTTAGTGTCAAATTTGGTTACCTTTTGCTAAAAGCTGAGGGAAAGACAGATACTATTTTTAAACACCTGTGGATAGAGTGACAAATCTAGGTAGCAGCAGAATATGCACTATCTGTATTTAAAGAACTGACAGTCTACAGATTTGATCTGTAAAATCTTACTGCTTTTTTTGGTATGTATCAAAATTGGAATGGTAGAACTTCAGCACCAAATTTTAGAGGTTATCTACTTAACCTCTCTACATTTTACAGATGAGACTGGAGTCCAGGAGTTTTGTGAATCAGTTTTCACAGGCACTTATTTATGAAATGCTGTGGGGTTTGTCCTTCATACATAGGCCCAGAATTCTTTCTGCTGCCTTGCGCTGCTTCCATTTTTTTTCCCCCACAGAATCTACGTTCTAAGGAGGTACAAAATATGGAGTGATGATTTGTCTTACCAATAATATTATCTAAAAATCCATTCAGGGTAGAAGTATAGAGATAAGAGATGGAGACAGTCTTCTATTTTACACTATGAACTATTTAGCAATAAACTTAACTAGTTCCAATTCATTTCAGGCTTGTTGAGGACACAGTGTAGATCTCTAGAAAACAATTGAGCCAAAATATCGTTGCTTAAGCCAAAATATCATTGCTAAAGCAAAAAAAGTGAGTCTACAACTTTGTACAAATAAAAAATACTAGACTTTTTATTCTCATTCTCTTTTACTAACTATAAATTTTAATTGTGATCTGTTTTAGGGAAAATGGGAGGTCCCTCTGCCCAAAGTTCGTGCCCAGGGAGAAACAGAAGTATTAAAAGTTATTCGAACAGGAAAGAGAAAGAAGAAAGCCTGGAAGAGGATGGTTACTAAAGTCTGCTTTGTTGGAGATGGCTTTACTCGAAAACCACCTAAGTATGAAAGATTCATTAGGCCAATGGTAAGACCCTGTTAGAGTGCAGTGGCTTAAAGATCAGTTCCTGTGGTAAGCCAGATAAAGTAATGGACAATTTCCTAAAATTCCTAATACTGGTATAAAAAACAAACAGGTTGAAAAATGTTTTTAGGCTGTTTTTAAGCTGATGATAGGTATTGTTTAGCACTTTTTCACTACTATCAAGAATCTTTGGCTTTGTAGGAGATTCGAAATGAAAAAGAATTCTCATTACAGAGATTGTCAGTGAATCTGGACTTGTAAACATGACAGAGACTTCCCTGGATATCCAGTGGTTAAGACTTGGTGCTTGCAATGCAGGGGACACAGGTTTGATCCCTGGTTGGGGAACTGAAATCCCACAAGCTACATGGTGTGGCAAAAAAAAAAAAATTAGAATCTTCATTTCCACACAGTCATTTTACTCATTCATCAAGTGATCTACTATATGCCTGACACTTGTCTTTGAGAACAGTTAGAAAACTGGAGAATTGTTTTTTGAAGAGTGAATTCCAGTTTAGTACGAGAAGTATAAGTGCCTTTGAAAATATTTACTTAATATGTAGTCATTGACAAGAGATTAAAATGGGCCTTCAATTTCTGTTGACAGCGGTAATGGCCAAACCCAATCTCCTTCTCTCCTCCCCTAATATATTTTTGCAGAATGCCTTTAAACAGAATGAATTCATCTCCCAACTAGACACCAGCCTGCTTAGAAAAACAAATAATCAGAGGGGAAAGTTGGCAGTATTACTCTCTCAACCTGAATCATTTTCAATGAATTAAAATGTTGCCCAACAACCTGCTTCTATAAAGTTCTATTGGATATAGCCATGCCCATTTATTTACACGTTGTCTATGGCTCTAGGTGCCTAGGGGAATCTGGTCTTTGTAACAGAAACTTCTCTAGGCTGTCTGCAGTTTTTGACCAGTATTAACCATCAATGCAGAGAGCTGACAGTCTTTTCACCAAGGAAGGTGGCTGAGGTATATAGACTTGGAATCGAGATACTTAAGTTTGATTCCATCCTCACACTATTTAGCCTGGGAACAAGTTATTTAACCTGCTGGTCCTTGTTTTATCCTTTTTTTTTTTTTTTTAAAGTAGCGGGAGTTGTTAAGGCTGTCATGCTGAAATGCACTGCCTGTGAGCTCTGGCACAGTGCCTGGCATGTCGAGAGCCCTCGGGAAGTATAGACAACTGGACCGCTGTTCCATGGTGAAAACTTTTTAGGAGTATGTGTTTGAGTTTTTCCTCACATATTTTTCTGTAACTGTCAGATAAGCTGTCTGTAGAATTAATTGTATTTTCTCCAGTGCCTTAAGATGAGATAATATTCAGTCCTTTTTGGAGCAGGGTGGGGAGATGATTGGAAAAGATAAGCAAAAAGAATCAATATTCTTCATTAACATCTTTAACTCAGAACATTCTTGTGTTTGGCTTACTAGGGATTACGTTTCAAGAAGGCTCATGTAACACATCCTGAACTGAAAGCCACCTTTTGCTTGCCAATACTTGGTGTAAAGAAGAATCCCTCATCCCCACTGTATACAACTTTGGGTGTTATTACCAAAGGAACCGTCATTGAGGTGAATGTGAGCGAGTTGGGCCTTGTAACACAAGGAGGCAAAGTCATCTGGGGTAAGTCCCAGCTGAATATGGGATTCTTGGTGTTATAATCCTAAAGTAGACGTTTTTAAGTTGATGTGAAGTATGCAGCAGATTTTAATGCAGTTAAACTTGATGTGAATAAGACTTAGAAAATGTGAATGTTCTTAATTTAGTTTACTGGTTTCAGTTATATAAAGTACATTGCTAGATATTTGTGGTTGCTTTTTATTTTAAAAGGTATTATTAGAAAAGATGGGAAGTTACAATTGAAAAATACTGGAAGAGAATAAATTAACTACAAATGGGGGAAGGGAGGCATAGAGCAAACATGTAGCTACACTACTGAAGTGACAATTACAAACTAAAATATATATAATAATTTTAAATTCATTTTTCCTCATTTTCTTAGTTTTCTGCTTTCAGTACCCAGGTATTTCTAAACTTTAACGTTTTTTGAAAGGAAAGAATACAGTGTGTAGCTTATTGATTGAATCTTCATATGAGTCATTGACCCGTACTTCACGTTGACCTAGATTTTAAAATAGGTTAATAAAATTAAGCCTTTTTTTTTGGGCTAGTGGTTGGCCATAGTATTATGCTGAGAAAGTATATTTTTATTTTGTTCTTTTTCAATAGTTTTTACCCAAAATTAATATTGAAGTTTTAACAAATGCTTTTTTGGCATCTGTGAAGGTGGTCATACTTTTTCCTCTGAAATATTTATGGAATTAATTGATTTATTAATAGTCTTCCTAGTAATAAACCATAATGTATTTCTAGAATGTACCTTCCTTGATCATGATGCATTATTCTTTTAATATTCAAATGATTCAACTTTCCGAGTTTAATTTAGGATTATCTTTTCTGTGTTTTTAAGTAAGATACTTTGCTTTATTTTCTGTTATCTTAGTCAGGTTTTTGTGTCTGTATAATGCTAGGTCAGAGAAAAGAACCAAGATAGTTTTCTCTTTCTGTGGTTGAGAGAAAATTTTTTGAAAACTAAAAGGATCACTTCTGGAGGTTTTGCTAATGGATTTGAAGACTTGGATGATTTCCTACCTTGTTTGTGGTATAGACCGGGTGCCAGTAAACTGCAGCCTGCGGGCTGCCACTTGTACAAGTGCTTGGGCCTGGTGCACTGGGAAGACCCAGAGGGATCGGGTGGAGAGGGAGGTGGGAGGGGGGACCGGGATGGGGAATACATGTAAATCCAGGGCTAATTCATTTCTATGTATGACAAAAACCACTGCAATGTTGTAAAGTAATTAGCCTCCAACTAATAAAAATAAATGGAAAAAAAAATAAAAATAAGCTCCCAGAGAGAGAAGGGATTAAAAAAAAAAAATAGGTTGTTAAGTTGATTTGAAACCTAGTTAATAATACTTGATACTTTTTCCAGTAAGAATTGTGTGGAAAAGGAGCGGTGCTAGGGTCAACCCACAAAGGCATGTTAAGTGATTTCGTTTTATAAAATCACATGTAATACTACTGTTGCTCACTTTTTTCTTTCTTAAAGTGGTGATTGTAAATATTTTAAGCAAAGGTCGTATGTATTCTTTTTTATTAGCTAATATCTCTAATTGTTCTGTTTTGTTTCCCTTAGGAAAATATGCCCAGGTTACCAATAATCCTGAAAATGATGGATGCATAAATGCAGTCTTACTGGTTTGACAGCAGTTACATACAAGTAACTCCATATAATTACTGAAGACTACACACCAATCGGGAAACCATTACTCTGATATTTCTGAATACTACCAATCAACCTTACATGTTGTCTTCAGTCAAAGAAAACTATTTATTCTGTTTTAAAAAAGAAAAAAGCCAACATTAAAATGATCTCGTTTTACAAATTGATCTTTTCCATGTTTAGCGTTTAAATGTTCATAAAAATCAAATGATTAAAAAATCAATTATAGAAATATCTTACTTCAACACTATTTGCATTAATGAATGGTACTACGCAGTGCAGACCTGTCATTTAAAAAAAGGAAAAGCCAGTGTAGTTGAAAATACCTTTTATCAAAAAGGTTTAATGCACACTTAAATGTGAAGAATAAGCCAAGAAACTCACGTCTAAGACCTTACCTTAGGTCTTCTCCTCCTCACTGTAGATAGTACTCCAAAGGAATGTAGCATTAACACATTTTAATTCAAATACTTTAAAAGTGTACAAGAGATGGCACATTACACTATAAAGTTCAAAAGAACAATAGTAAGTCAGGGGATTAGTATCGTAAACATTTTTCCCTTCTCATTCATAATATATAATGCCATATACTTGGAACTATATTTTCTACTCAAGACACATGAAAAAAATAAACCAAAATGTTTATACTTTTAGCATTTTCTATATTCTAAACTTAGGGTAGTATATTTATATTTTTAGAATGGTAAAAAGACTGCATTAATGCCCTTAAAGGCAAATAAATGTTTGCAGTTACTTAGATTACATTAAGAAGGTCATGTTTTAGTCAAAAGCACATCTGTGATCTGAGTATGTTTGTGACTGAGTTTTAGGGTGTTTATATATTGTATTAATTTATAATCACGTTAATTGTTTTCAATTCTGTTTATTTTTTTTAAAGTCTGTCTTGAAAGTACAACCAATGTGATTAATTGTGGCTTTAACAAAATCAGTGTAAACAAATCCAGTATCTAAACACATCTTCACCAATGAAATTAGGGAAAAGGGAAGGAATTTCAAAACATAAACAATCACAAAATATAGGTTTAGTTACTACTGTTAAAATTGAAAAAAAAAAAAAAACTACTAAGAAAACAAACATAAGTACTTGAATAAGTCTTGCTATTCTGAATAATGTAACATCTTTCCTAAGTTATATAAACAGTAGGTAGAAGTTTTGGAACACACAAACACTTAGGAAAAGAAAGGCTAGTTTCTTGGGAATGACTATCCAGTATGATACAATTACTTCAAGATAACATAAGTGGAACCTACCTTACAATCAGATTTTAACAAATGATTTTGCCACTAATAGAAATGGGGAATGAGTGAGTGACAAGTTTTGGAGGGTGAAACAAAATCAACTAAAGGTAAGCACTGGATACAGAGCTGAAGTTTGCTTATTTTTCACAACCAAAAATAAGCAAGTTAACTATCTTGTACAAATAAAGCTTGATACTAAGTATGTGAACAGAAGCATAAACATTACTAACTAATCACACCCATGAAAGACTGGATTAACACTTTAAACACAGTATTGCTACTAGTGGACAAACAAGGCAGAAATTTCTAAAACACTGTTAAACAGCTGAGGAATATTAGTATAAATTCTTTATTTACATTAAGATCTGTCTCAGTTTGCTGGTGTGACCAAACCTTAGAAGGTAGTCCCTATGGGTAAAGCAGAGTGTAAGAGCAGATATTTAGGTGCCAGATGAACACTCAACTTGATGCAGTCATAAGCTTTCAAAATAGTTTTCTAAAGTCACTGAAACCATTTTAGGTGGTGTTCTGGTGGTCAGCTAAAAGTGAACCATTAATCACTAGTAGTTTTTATCCTTGCCATGATAATTCTCTGCACTGAGTGGAAACACCATGAATATAGACACATTTTAAGTAGTAGAAGATTGACATTCTGTCATGCTATTTTTGATTTTATAAAAAAATCATAATAGACCCTCTCACTTCAAAGTTGTAGAGGAACTTTATAATAAACTCTTCAATATATTTCTGTGATGTCTAGCAATTGAATAAACTTGAAAGTAGGACTAAAACTTTGCTAATAACTGTCTGCTTTATATTACACAAGGAAATATATATGTATTTACACAAACTGCAGTGAACTCCCTTCACAAATAAGACTTCTAAACAGAAAAAAGCATTTCACAAAGAACTATAGAATGTGACTGGACACTCAACTACCTGGTTGAAATCAGATTTCAGTCCTCTGTAATTCTGTTTTTCTAATGCCTTTTGCAAAAAGTACAAGTAATCTTATTAAGTTTTATTTAGAGTCCTAACTGAGGATAAATTTTGTTATAAATTCTATACTCACTCACTGAGCATAGAAACTCATTGTTACTGAACATGAAAGTTAGGTTTTTTCCATATGAGTTAGATTTTTTCCATGTGATTTAACTTTTTCCCTCTGCTACCTATAAACTCCAAAATAACATTTTCTGTTAGAGATAATATGTGACAAAATCTTTCTTGTGTGAACAAAAAGTTTTGAAACTTGATTAAAATGCACTTATGGTTTAAGAATAAGCCAAACAAATTTAAGTGTAAATTTATAGAGCGAGTCCTTAGTGATCACGTATGAATATCCATTTCTTTTCTGTAAACTCAGCAACTATATTCACACATCAAAAGATGTCAGTGAGCTCAGTCTTAAACTACATCTTTTTAAAGAAAAGTATTTTAAAGAACAAAGAAGAATCCAAGTAAAAAAAGTAAATGTTAGGTTTTTAAATCTTTTAAGAAATTAAAAATGGAAACGTTTAAGAATTTACTGAATCTATTTCCCTAACTGTGGTATTAACAAAAATTTCTCACAAAAAGTATAAAACAGCATAAACATTCAATACATACACTAGTATTAGTAACTTATCCTTTCACTTGACTAGCATTTGTTAAGAAAACAAATGGCCAAAGTGCTTAATTTTCATTTAGAATGGAATAATCTAGGCTAACTCTGAACATAATCAAAGAAAATGTAGGGGACACAGTATTTAAATTTTTACATGAGTAAGGAGGGTTTGCTATTTTGCCTACTAATGATTTTACCTCAACTTTAAATCTTCCTAAAATGCCAACAGCCCAAAATAAAATTTAGTATCACCTGACTATAGACTGAATAAACCTTCAACATCAATCCTTAACTCCTCAAATAATGACACAAAATCATAACACATTTTTTTTTCATGTAAGGACCAAGCAGTTTTAAAAAGAATCTAGTCTCATTCTCAAACTTAAATGAAAATTTGAGCACACATAATACTTTCAAAGAATAGGACTGTTTTAAGATTCTCTTTGGATGTGAATGACCATTTTGTTCACTTTTAAATAAATTACTATACAAAAATAAACAATTGAGGGTGTGTTTTTCAATTTCTTGTTTCTAGTCTTCCCAGGCAAAGGCCTTTGCTGTGGCCACACAATGTCTACACAGGTTAGCCTGTCGCTTCTCTGCACAGAACAAATCAAGGGTGAGCAAGCTCAAAGGGACAAGACTCTTGCAACTACGGCTCCTAGGGCCACCTACTCCTGCCATCTAGGCCTAAGACTGGGGCGCGGTTCTAAACTTACCAAAAATGGAAGCCAAGGGCACAAGCTGGAAGGCAGGCAGAGAGATCTTTTGACAGGAATCACTCCGTCAGTTAGGGAAGTGGACAAAAGCTGAGGGGAATATAAACAAGATTCTAGAATAAAGGCAGTGTCAGGATTAAGGAGAACCCTTTAAGAAGGGTTCTCATACTTCTGAAGTATACATGTTAATCGGGTGAGAACGAAAATACAACCCCCAGCTTCAAAAGAAATTTTAAATATGCTAGTGCCTACACACTAGAGTTAAATCCCAAGCAGTACTGTTAACATCAGATATTATCAAGAGTGAAGTGGAAACAGATTATGTTTGTATTTTTCAACAGATACAGAAGTCAAAGGAAGAAACTGCACCTGCAACTAAGAGATCAAAAATACCACCTTCGTAAACCTTTGACCATAAATTTCTGAATCTGTGCTCTCATTTGGTTGAAATTACTTTGACCCTAATTTACTGCCATTTTTGTTTAATCAAGCCTACATTTTAAAAAATCATGATTAGTTTCAAAATTTAAAACTTTTAGAACCTTCACCAAGATTACTATTAAAACCCTTAGTATAAAAGATGTCTGTGATCCTTACAATTGATGGAAGCCCTACTACTTTCATAGTTTTTAAATTTCTATTTTCTGAAATTATAATGGTCAGGTATCTCCAACTGCTAAAGAAAATATAGTATGATCTGGTTTCCCAAAATTGAAACATGGTTAATAGAAATTAAAAAAATTGTATTTACACAAAAATAGCCTGAAAAATTAAAAAGAACAGTGAATCCTAGGATCTACCAGGGAGGGAAAGCAGCATCATAAATAAGTTCAACTTGAAAATTTGGAATTTTTGTCCTGGGCCCCATGCCATTTATTCATCGCCATATTGTAAAAACAACTTGTTTGCAAAGAAGAGGTTTTATCATCTGCACGTCTTCCTCACTCAGGTCAGCTTGGCTTTCTTCTTTGCAGGGCCCTTGTGCCCTTTGGCCTTTCTCCTTAAATTCCGCCTGTCAACCACAGGCACCTCCACTTCTATCTCCTCGGAGCTACTGTCCACCGTCTTCTCTGTTGACTGTGTCAACTGATCCAGCTGCTCAGAAGACGCTTCAGACTGCTCCTCTGACAGGTTCTTCTGTCCTGCATTCTGTGAAAACGGCACATCTTCAAGTTCAACCTCTATCAGAGAGCTCTGAGGCAGAGCTGCAGATGATTCCTGGGGCTCGGCCACCCCCTCCTCACCCTGGTCTTCCAATGAGGCGGTAGTGTTGGGTGACACATTTTCAGGGATCGATTCCTCAGAAAATTCAGCAATCACAGAGTTTGGAAAAGCACTGTCGGACCTTTCTTCATTTGGGAGAGTAGCCACACTGTCTGAACTCCCAAAATGTGCCTTCTTCCTTGAAGCCAGAGGCAGCTTCTCCTCGGTGTGCCCCTTGTCATCAGATGGACCTTCGTCCAGCAACGTTTCTGAGTCAGTGGCATGTGAAACCTAAAAACAGAAACTCCAGTGAACGTTTGCAACCAAGTTCTTACATAGATTATTCTCAGGCACTAACATGCAAAGACCCTGAACACATTTTAAAGAATTCAGGACTCACTACTTTTGTCAATCATGTGCACATATTCTCTGAATATAGCTCAGTTTCTTAAAAACTGTCTTACATGATACTTTGTATTCATTAAGTGCTTGCTTTAAAGATACAATAAAAGTAATGATTTTACCTCAGAAAGTATTTAAGGCTCTTAAACTATCCATCAAGATTCTTTAAAACCGTGAATCAATTCAAGTGTTTAGTTTCTTGGTGTTACTGGAGCCAGAACCAAGTATCCTGGGACTTGACACTGTGCTTCCCCATTGGGTTTGACTATTAGTTGATAGGTGGGGTTTCCCAGGTGGTGCTAACCATAAAGACCACACCAGCCTGTGCAGGAGATGTAAGAGATGCAGGTTTGATCCCTGGGTCAGGAAGATCTGGAAGAGGGCCTGGCAACCCACTCCAATATACTTGCCTGGAGAATCCCATGATCCGAGGACCCCAATGGGCTACGGTCCATAGGGTCTCAAAGAGTCAGACACAACTGAATGGACTTAGCAGGCAGAAAGGCAGTGAAAATTCTACTCAGGTAATTACAGGAGACACCAATAAAATAATGCTATATAATAGTTTTTTAGACTTAAATTGGATATTCAAAACTAGAAATTAAATGTCCTTTCAGATGTGGCATACACACACACACACAATGGAGTGTTACTCAGCCATAAGAAAAGGAATAAAATCTTGTCATTTGTAACAACATGGATGGGTCTACATGGTATTAGGCCAAGTGAAATAAGTCAGACAAAGACAGAACCCATATGATCTCATTTATATGTGGAATCTAAAAGACAAAAGAAACTGAAAACAAACTCAGATTAGGACACCAAATGGGTGGTTGCCAGAGGGGAAGGAGTGAAGGGACTGAAACAGGTAAAGGGGATTAAGAGGCACAAACTTCCAGTTATAAACCAAACCACAGGGATGTATTATACAGCATAAGGAATATGTCAATAATAGTGTAATAATTTTGTATGGGGACAGAGAGTTAACAGACTTACATTTTACATTTAGGTGATGATTTTATAACATATGCAAAATCAAATCACTATGTAGTATACATGAAATTAATGCTGTACATCAACTATATTTCAATAAAAATATTTCTTTAAAATATTATATCAACTTTTCCCCACTAATAAATCTCTCTAATTAAAACAAATTAAATGACTGTACTGGTCACAGACCAGCAATAGGTTAATTCAAATATTTGTGTGCATGCCTGCTAAGTCGCCTCAGTTGAGTCTGACTCTTTGTGACCCTATGTACTGTAGGTCCACCAGGCTCCTCTGTCCATGGGATTCTCCAGGCAAGAATCCTGGAGTGGGCTGCCATTCCCTCCTCCAGGGCAATTTCCCGACCCAGGGTCAGGAAAGAGTCACCCAGGCCTCTTATGTCTCCTGCACTGGCAACTGGGTTCTTTACCACTAGCGCCACCTGGTGAATAATATTTAGGTGTGTCAGTCACTCAGCCGTGTCTGACTCTTCATGACCCCATGGACTGGTGCCCTCCAGGTTCCTGTTCATGAAATTCTCCAGACAAGAATACTGGAGTGGGTTGCCATCTCCAAATATTTAGGTCAGTAATGCTTTATCCATTTTTCTAAGCATTTCCTAAATTTACAAAGTAAAACTCATGTTGTTATCATAAGTCAGATATGAATGAAGTTACAAAGATTTGAATTTATATTACTGATTGCATCTGCTCAAAATATCCAATGTAGTATAATTTATTTTTCCTAAAGGAATGTCCACGTTAAAGTAGAGGAAAATATATATCCTACACTGCCCCAGCTGAGTCACCAAGGCTGGACACTCTAACTATAAAAAGTCAGGTTATTTTTCTATTACCTTATCCGGTGCAACACCCTCGAGGGGTTGTGAAGAGTCTACCACCAGTGGAGCCAGATTCGTAGAGTCTTCATTGGAACTAAAAGACTGCAATTTTAATTCTTCATCTAAAACTTCACTAGTGGAGTCCTCCTCTTCTGTTACGAGTGAAGTCTTAACAGTATCATCTATTATCTCACCATTCATAGGCTCTAGTGCAGATTCCTACACAATTGAGCAAAAAAAAGGGACCAAATTACAGATTAACTTACTTGTCATGCAACGTGGTCATTCTCCGTACCTCCCTATCATGCACTAGAACTCAAGATACATTCTACCACATTACTGGGCATAGGTTAAGCAACAGCAGAGTCAGGAAGAGAACAGAACCCCTAAGCAGCCCAATTCCCCTCTGTGTTCATGGAGAACCATGCAATGAAGAGACCCTACCTCCTCCTTCCTCTTCCTCATTACAGGGCAGTCACAGGAAGAACCTTTTGGGTAAAAAGTTACCAGAGAAAGTCTAAATTTGGTGCTGGCTCTTTACAGAACATCAGCTGTTCAGTAGCTGGAATCTTTGGGGTCTGAGGGAAGTCACAGTTCAGCGTGCCTGGGAAGGAAGCACTACCAGATCTGTGGCAGGTTGAATTTGGGTAAAGCTTCCCGCTGGGAGAAGAGAGTCCCCAACCTCAGTGACCTGACTGTACAGTCAATAAAGGGTTGTCTCCAAACAATCCTGCCCCTTAAATCACATTAAAATATGGAAAAGTGATTTGATAACACAAGGTCTCCAATTTCTGAAACTCCTCCTCTCATGTTTAATCAATCTACAAGACTTCCATTAATGTCTAATATTTCTAATTAATACTACTGACATTTTATATTTAAAAATTAGAATAATGATACACTCGAATTTTTAAAAATAGACTTGGCTGGATTATATAGAATCCCTGAAAACATATAATGAGTATTTTCCTAAGGGATATTTAAATCAGAGACTTAGAAAAATTAATCTGGGGAATTCCCTAGTGGTCCAGTGGCTAAGACTCAGTGCTCCCAATGCAGGAGCCCAGGTTTGATCTGGAGGTCAGGGAATCAGATCCTACATGCCTCAACTAAAGGTCCCACATGCCACAACGAAGACCTAGTACAGCCAAATTAATTAATTAATCTAAAAAACCACATAGACTTAGAAAAAGAAAAATTAATCTGGCCGGAGTACAAAGAATAAACTGCACACAGAAGGTAATTAAAATAAAACTCACAAAAGAACCAACTGGGGTAGAAGAAATGTTAAAAAGATGAAAATGAGAAAGAGATAGCAAAGGTTTTTGTAAAAAAAAATTGAATTTTGGTGAGTAACTACAAGAGAGAAACAAAAGAGAAAAACTCATGTCCTTCAAGTTCTAGGTTTGGGAATAGAATGAAAAATAGGAAATAGGAAAAGAAGGCCAGTAGAGAAGTGATAGGCAAGAACAGAGATTAAATTTAAGATGATAAAAGACATCTGTCTAAACAGAAATACTCAGAAGGCAGGTAATACTATGAGATCATAGTCTGGATCAATCTTCAAAGTCTAGAGCTACTGGTCACCCCCACAGAGACAAATATTCCGTCATAGACTAGATGTATTTCCCCCTCCCCCCCCCAAAAAAATGAACAAAAGAGCAGAAGGTCAAGAACTGAGTCTTCTAAAATGTCCACAAAGACAGGGGAAAAAGGAAAAAACAAAAACAACAGGAAACAGAACAGTCAAAAACCAAATGCATAAAACCAAATGAAAACTCCAGAAAAGAGATAAACCTAGAAACCAAAACACAGTAGTGTTATAAAGCCAGGCGATCAGAAAACCGAGAGGAAGGGAGAATAGACAGCCTCAGTAAGGAAAGCCACTGCAACTGAGTGAAACTGTCACTGGTGACCCACCACGTAGGTACTCAGAGGTTTCTCGGGACAGAAGAAACACGTTACATGTAGTATGTACAGCATAATCTTAAGTTTTTAATAAAGGAAAAAACCACACAAATATACATTCCCATAGTCATCTAGAAGCAGATAAATTTTGTTTTTAAAACATGTATTTCTCCAATTTAAATCAGTAATGCAGTTTCACTTTCTTAGCTCCTGGTTGGACTTGACAAACAGGTAAAATATTTTTAAAGAAACTTAAGCACGTCTGAAAGGAGAAATAAGGAACCTGTAAAAGACTAAAGATATTAAAGAAAAAGAAGGACGGAAATAGAGAAGATGAAAAAAGAAAGAGAAAAATAATTGAGGAGCTGCAGAAATCAAGACAGATAAAGAGATTTTTTACTTGGTCAAAAAGTTATTTTCTTGCCTGTTTTCTAGTAATTAAACAAAAAAAGAATTTAGTTATTTTTTAGGAATTTGTAAATCAACTGTTGAGTAAAAATACCTTATTTTTTTCTGGACAACTAATTCTATCTTTACATCCAAAATCGGGTGAATTTAGGGCTTGTTGGACCTTAAGGTATTCTAATTGGTTTTTTAAGATAGGCTTCGATCAGTCACATAATTTGCATCACTTCTTAAAGTTTATGTTTAATTCCACCAATTGATTTGAATTTTAAACACAGAGAGGACATTACTATCTAAACATCTTCTATTTTATCTCTGTAATATGTCAAACTTTATAAATTCAGTTTGAAACATAAAATACTTAAAACTTTATCTTCCGCTACCTGACTTTGCTTTAGACATATATGCTTTTTAACATTACAATTTCTACTAAGAGTCTTTATGCTTTTCCAACAATATACGACTAAGTTGAAATTTACCTCCATTCATTCTATTAAATAAATGAATCTCAGAAATCCAAAAAGGAGGGGATATATGTATACATATAGCTGATTCACTTTGCTGTACAGGAAAATAACACAACATTGTAAAGCAACTACATTCCAATAAAAATTAATTTTAAAAAAAGCGAATCACTCACCTTTTCACCTTCTTGCTTTTCCAGGCCTGGCTGGGTTTCTGGTGCTGGTTGAACATCTTTATCACTACTTTCATCCTCAAATTCAATCACACTCTGTGCAGGTTCTTCTTCCAAGAATTCTTCCGAGCTCTCTGATGTGCGTGCAGTAGACTCCAATCTAGGAAACCAAAGAAAAACATTTTTACTTATTTTATTAAAGATGCCACAGGTTACACTCATACAAAATGGCAAACTTCAATGAATGATTTTATTGGAGTACAGCTGACTGACAATGTTGTGTTAGTTTCTGCTATAAAGAACAGTGAGTCAGTTATACATACACATATGTCCACTCCTAAGATGGCAAACTTCATTGATAAATGTTGCATGTGTTCTGACTATTACAACTGATTGGCCATTACCCATCTCTCTCTCTTTCTTTGGGTCTCCCTATTCCTTGAGACACAATATTGAAATTACGCCAGTTAATAACCCTGAAATGGCTCTAAGTGTTCAAATGAAAGGAAGAGTCACATATTCTTACTTTAAATCGAAAGCTTGCTAGAAGTGACTAAATTTATAAAGGCACGTTGAAAGCTGAGACAGGCAGAAAGCTAGATCTCTTGTGCCAAATAGCCAAGCTGTGAATGCAAACCAAAAGTTCTTGAAAAAAAAAAAAATCAACAGTGCTACTCTAAGTGAACACACCAATGATAAGAAAGCAAAACAACCTTATTGCTGGTCTAGAGAAAAAGTTGTAGTGGTCTGGAGAGAAGATCAAACCAACCTCAACATTCCCTTAAGCCAACGCCTAATCCAGAACAAGGCCCTAAATCTATTCATTCCCAGGAAGGCTGAGAGAGGTGAGGATGCTGCAGAAAAAAGCATGAAGGTAGTGGAGAGGCTGGTCCAAGAGATTTAAGGAAAGAAGTTATCTCCATGAGAGTGCCCAGTGAAGCAACCAGTGCTGATACAGAAGCTCTATCAAGTTAGCTAGAAGACACAGAGCTAAGATAATGAATGAAAGTGGCTACAATAAACAGACAATAAACAACAGACTTCTCAATGTAGACAAGAAGAAGAAGTCATCTAAGACTTTCATAGCAAGAAAACAGTAGTCAAAGCCCGGCTTTAAAGTTTCAAAGGACAAGCTGACTCCCGTTAGGCACTAATGCAGCTAGTGACTTGCACTTGACACCAATGCTCATTTACCATTCTGAAAATTCTAGGGCCCCTCAGAATAACCTACTCTGCCTGTCCTCTATAAAGGGAAAAACAAAGCTTGGCTGACAGCACACCTGCTGACGACATGGATTACTGAATATTTTAAGCCCACTGTTAAGACCTATTACTCAGGGAAAAAAACAAATTTCCTTTCAACATGTGACTGCTCATTGACAATGTAAGTGGTCACCCAAGAGCTCTGATGGAGATGTATAATGAAGTTCGTGTTGTTTTCATGTCTGCTAACACAACATCCATTGTGCAATCCAAGGATCAAGGAATCACTTCAATTCAATTTCTTAAGAATTACAGATCATAGGGCTACAGCTGTCAAAGATACAGATTCCTCTTATTAATCCAGGCAAAGTCAATTGAAAACCCTCTGGGAAGGATTCACCATTCTAGATGCCACTATGCACACTTATGATTCATCAGAAGAGGTCAAAATATCAACATTACAAGGAGTTTGGAAGAAGCTGATTCCAACTATCATGGATGACTGTGACAAGTTCAAGACTTCAGTGGTCGAAGTCACTGTAGATGTGGCAGAAACAGAGAACTATAATGAGAAGTGGAGCCTGAAAATGTGATTGAATTGCTGCAATCTCAAGATAAAACTGTAATGGATGTTCAGTGCAGTTGCTCAGTTGTGTCTGACTCTTTGCGACCCCATGAATCGCAGCACACCAGGCCTCCCTGGCCATCACCAACTCCCGGAGTTTACTCAAACCCATGTCCATCGAGTCGGTGATGCCATCCAGCCATCTCATCCTCTGTCGTCCCCTTCTCCTCCTGCCCCCAATCCCTCCCAGCATCAGGGTCTTTTCCAATGACTCAACTCTTTGCATCAGGTGGCCAAAGTACTGGAGTTTCAGTTTCAACATCAGTCCTTCCAATGAATACCCAGAACTGATCTCCTTTAGGATGGACTGGATGGATCTTCTTGCAGTCCAAGGGACTCTCAAGAGTCTTCTCCAACACCACAGTTCAAAAGCTTCAATTCTTCGGTGCTCAGCTTTCTTCACAGTCCAACTCTCACATCCAGACATGACCACTGGAAAAACCATAGCCTTGACTAGACGGACTTTTGTTGGCAAATGGATGTTTGTAATGGATGAGGAGCTGCTTATTGTGGATGAGCAAAGAAAGTGATTCCATCTCGAGATGAAATCCACTCTTGAAGACGCTATGAAGATCGGTGAAATAACAAAGACTATGACATAAACTTAGTTGAAGAAGCTGCATCAGGGTTTGAGAGGACTGACTCCAATTTTGCAAGAATTTCTACTGTGGGAAAAAGGCGATCAAGCAGCACTGCATGTTACAGAGAAATCATTAGTGAAAGGAAGAAGTCAGCCAATCTACATGGCAAAGTTTATGGCTGTCTAAGTAAAGAAATGGCCAAAGTCACCCCAACCTTCAGCAACCACCTCCCCGGTCAGTCAGCAGCCACCAACACTGAGGTGAGACTCTACACCAGCAAAAAGACTATGACTCATTAAAGGCTCACAATGGTTATCATTTTTTTAACTAATAAAGTATTTTTAAATTATATACTTTTTCTTTAAAGACATATATTATAGTAGAGTGTAAACATAACTTTTATGTGCACTGGAAAACTCAAAAATTTGTGTGACCTGCCTTATTGTGATAACTGCTTTACTGTGGTACCACGGAACTGAACCTACATCTCTGGAGTACGCCTATATATAATGTCCCTTTCATTCTCAAAAATACCACTTGGGGCAATAAATGATATGGCTTAGCTCTACTTCTGAAATGCTTTTCAAATAAATCCACAACTTTCTATTCCCATTCTCATCTTCCTTCTTCAAGCCCTATTCTCTCTGGACACTATAACTTCTTCCCAACTCATGTTCAGACCAGCACTACATACATTCTTTAGTAAGGTTTAAGAAAGGCAATTCAAAGAATGCTCAAACTACAGCACAGTTGCACTCATCTCACACGCTAGTAAAGTAATGCTCAAAATTCTCCAGGCCAGGCTTTAGCAATACATGAACCGTGAACTTCCAGATGTTCAAGCTGCTTTTAGAAAAGGCAGAGGAACCAGAGATCAAATTGCCAATATCTGCTGGATCATCGAAAAAGCAAGAGAGTTCCAGAAAAACATCTATTTCTGCTTTATTGACTATGCCAAAGCCTTCGACTGTGTGGATCACAATAAACTGTGGAAAACTCTGAAAGAGATGGGAATACCAGACCACCTGGCCTGCCTCTTAAGAAACCTGTATGCAGGTCAGGAAGCAACAGTTAGAACTGGACATGGAACAACAGACTGGTTCCAAATAGGAAAAGGAGTACCTCAAGGCTGTATATTGTCACCCTGCTTATTTAACTTATATGTAGAGTACATCATGAGAAATGCTGGGCTGGAAGAAGCACAAGCTGGAATCAAGATTGCCAGGAGAAATACCAACAACCTCAGATATGCAGATGACACCACCCTTATGGCAGAAAGTGAAGAGGAACTAAAAAGCCTCTTGATGAAAGTGAAAGAGGAGAGTGAGAAAGTTGGCTTAAAGCTTAACATTCAGAAAACTAAGATCATGGCATCTGGTCCCATCACCTCATGGGAAATAGATGGGGAGACAGTGGAAACAGTGGCAGACTTTATTTTTGGGGGCTCAAAAAATCACTGCAGATAGTGACTGCAGCCATGAAATTAAAAGACGCTCACTCCTTGGAAGGAAAGTGATGATCAACCTAGATAGCATATTAAAAAGCAGAGACGTTACTTTGCCAACAAAGATCCGTCTGGTCAAGGCTATGGTTTTTCCAGTGGTCATGTATGGATGTGAGAGTTGGACTGTGAAGAAAGCTGAGTGCCGAAAAATTGATGCTTTTGAGCTGTGGTGTTGGAGAAGACTCTTGAGAGTCCCTTGGACTGCAAGGAGATCCAACCAGTCCATCCTAAAGAAGATCAGTCCTGGGTGTTCATTGGAAGGACTGATGCTGAAGCTGAAACTCCAGTACTTTGGCGACCTCATGCGAAGAGTTGAGTCATTGGAAAAGACCCTGATGCTGGGAGGGATTGGGGGCAGGAGGAGAAGGGGACGACAGAGGATGAGTTGGCTGGATGGCATCACTGACTTGATGGACATAAGTCTGAGCAAGCTCCGGGAGTTGGTGATGGACAGGGAAGCCTGGTGTGCGGCAGTCCATGGGGTCACAAAGAGTCGGACACGACTGAGCGACTGAACTGACTGTGATGCTACTTACCTGTGTATCAGTTTTCCTTACCAACACCCCTCCCAGTTTTGTGCCTTTGCTCACATTATTCCTGCAGTCTAGAACTGCATGGTACAATACAGTAACCACAGGACACTTGCAATTATTTATAATATGGTAATAAACTAAGTGAAATAAAAGACTCAGCTCCTCAATCGCCAGAGCCACACTTCAGGGCTCAGTGACAAGCACACGGAGCAGAGGCAAGGCACTGAACACGCCCACCATGACAGGAAGCTCTCTAACAGCCCTGGCGTAGACCAAGGTCTGGCAAACTTTTCTTTTAGGTTTTGTGGGACACATGGTCTCTGAACACTCACTCACTCCACCACTGCAAAGCAAAAGCAACCACAGTAAACATGTAAACTAATAAACATGGACGTGGCACAGTAACATTTTATTTACAAGAGGTGGTGGGCCAGACTGGCCTATAGACCATAGTTTGTGAACCTTCAAACCAGAAAAGTCTTCTTTCCCAAATATGCTTGTTGAATTTCTACTCATCCCTGAAGCCCTGGCCCAAATGTCAAATTTCTCCATCCCCTCCGTTAAGAGTCAATCACGCTCTCCTTTGTATCCACAGCACTTTCACTTCTATTTTCACATCACAAACCACCTTGCAGCTCTCTCAACCTGTGTCCTAGGAACAGACACGTGTATTAGAAACTACTAGCCAACAGCAAAGGTGAAGTTTGGTTCCTCATGGTGTCTGAGCATTTAAGCATCTAGTCTTACTGCTACTATTTTATGAAAAGCTAAAGAAAAATTCCACAACATTTCTGTGATGTGTAATTTAAAATGAGCTATTACATTCCCTTCTAAAAAGGGTATTACATCAAAATGTTACTCAGTGGAAAAAAAACCATAATTATCTAAACTCTTATTACTCTTTTCACAAGTTACTTAGATTTTTCTTTAAAATGGTGGATTTTTCATTGAAATATAAAATTTACATAATTATCCAACTTTAAAATTATATACATAATAAAATTAGCATAGCTACAGAATACTTCACCTGAGAATAATTTTATAGTCAAGATGGCAAAGCTATGAATGGTTGACTCAAGAACAGTTAGTAGGACTATCAGAGCAAAAGCTTAATTTAACTATAATATTCAAAATCTTGCTTTCTTTAAATAAGAAAATAAGGTTTTGATCCAAGGTATCTGTTGATTCAGCAGACTATTAAGTTTCTGGAGGAGCTGATGATACCATTTATGGCAATTACTAATTTATGTTAGGTTCTATAATCTAGTAAGATGAGTCCAGATAAGTCCATTATAAAGTAAAATTGAGGGTTTCTTAAATTGACTAAACTTCAGGATTACTAAAAACCACAGTTACTGTCAAATTCAAAGCTGACAATAAATGACTCATTTGAGATAAAATAACCACTAGAAGATTCTTCTGGATTTTCACACAAGAGACTAAAACTTCAGTTTATTCTACTCTCTTACTAGCAACCTCTCCCTATAATACTGTCAATGTGACACTTATTAAGTGTAATCAATAATCTTGTTGAAGAAGTAAAATACCAACTTCTACACCAAGGTCATTTACTACACAAATAATATTTAAAAAGTCACCTTAAAAACTAAATACTATGAAAATAAGAGGACACAAAATAATGACTGAAATAAACAATGCTTTACTTGTTCACTGAAGCTGTGGGAGAAGTCTGAGGAGTCTTTTCATCTTCCCCTTGAGAACTAGTAAACTCAGAATCCTGAAACCGCTTTCCAATCTTTGGCCGCTTTAGATGGCTACTTCGAGTACGAGTGGAAACAGGTGTTTTATCGTGACCTGAGAAAAAAATAGCAAGCCCATAATTAATTGACTGTATTCAAAGAATTACCCATTAATTATACACAGAAATGCAAGAACTAAGCTAATTTAACTATATCACCACCATTACACACTTCCTTTCTATCACATCAGGCTAGGAAACCATGTCAGTGACATATTTTAAATTATGAAGTAACCTTAAAGTCAATATTCATTCCTCACATGTCTATGTTACCTTGAGCTTTGCAAAGTATTTGTGCATTTTCACTTAGATTCTCTTCCAATAATCTTGGGAAGTAAACAAGGCAGACATTATGGTCCCTATTTTACAGGTAAGGGACTGAAAAAACAGAGGTACGTAGCTCATCTGTTCACACACCACAACCCTGACCTAGATATTAGAGGTGGGTAAGTCTTTATTTATACTGAGGGACACACACACACACACTTAATTCTCACACTCTCAAAGACTTACTAATAGACCAGCTGAATTTCTTACCTTCAGAAGTACTTGCAAAGGCATCTTTTAGAGAATCAATCTAAAAGAGATACATATCAAAACCAAAAGTTTTAGACCCTTTTTCCTTCCTATGCATCTACTTCATTCAGTTTCAAAGAAAATCTTTTAAAAACTTTTTCAAATAACACCTTTTGTATTCACTATCCATCAATTAAGAAGATTCACAAATGGCAACCCACTCCAGTATTCTTGCCTGGAGAATCCCATGGATGGAGGAGCCTGGTGGGCTACAGTCCATGGGGTTGCAAAGAGTCGGATACGACTGAGCGACTTAACTTTCACTTTCACGTAAGAAGTAAAAAGGCCATATTAGAGCTTCAGTTTATTATTAGCCCAAGAACTTGTGAAATCACCTAATATGCAATACTGATATACACTGGGGTTTCCAAGTGTTCTGTCCTCAGCTCCTTTCTCAGTCCAAATACTCCCTCTGTGTAACTGTATCTACCACCTTTACTTTAACATCTCCTTGCTGATGAATCCAAACATGCAACTTAATTTCCCCAACTTTTTTCCTGATTTCCAAAGCTCTTTTTCCAATGAAATCTCTCTCCAGTTAATACTCCAACCCAATTTCCTATCCAATCTGTCCCAAACTAAACTCTCATATTTAATCAGTATTATTCTCTATCTTGGCTATTGGCAGTAACAGTTCAGTATGCTATTCCAATCAAAGACCTGTGGGGCAGTAATGACTTCTTGTCCTTCATTCAACCAACCACAAGCCTGTCCATTAGGACGCTGAAGAATCTCTCAAAACTGCCCCCTCTTTGGTATTACCAATGCTTCAATTTGGGCATTTATCATCCTTAACATGAAGGTGTACACCTTAAATATGTATAATTTTTGTCAATTATACCTCAATAAAGCTAAAATATTATGTAGTTAAACAAAATCACTTCCCCATGTGGTTACTAATAAAAAGAGTTTAATATAAGAAATATCTTCCTTGATTAAAATATTACAGTAATATGAAGAATATGAATTTCTAAAATGAAAGAAAATCTAATTTATATCGCCAACCTTCATAGTACAGTGAAATTTTAATGTTCTCATTAAAATGACACAAATTATTTGGCTTAATATTCAAGTAAATCATTGCTCTCACTACATGTATGAAACATAGATTTTTCTACTTTCCCTTGTTTTATGATATCTGATCAGTAATAAAAGAATTTTAATATATCTGAGGAATTTGGATGCAACATAATAGAAGGGCTTATTTTGAAGCCTGAAATTCCAAAGGTAGGAAAAAAAACTGAACTCCTTATATAGTTATTGTATTATTTATATTATCCTTAAAAATGCTTTTCAAAATTTTTACTCAAATAGTCATCACTCATGCTAATTAAGACAGAAGAAGAGAGGCACAAATAATTCCCCAAAGCACTTGTTGAAATGCATGTGCATTTACACAGACATATTCAACACTCACTAAAAATATATTCAGATACCCACATACAAAATAATTATGACTATATTAAAACCTTCCCTGGTGGCTCAGCTGGTAAAGAATCCACCTGCAACACAGGAAGACCCAGGTTTGAACTTTGGGTCAGGAAGATCCCCTGGAGAAAGGAATAGCAAACCACTCCAGTATTCTTGCGTGGAGAATCCCATGGACAGAGGAGCCTGGCAGGCTACAGATATGGGGTTGCCAGTCGGACATGACTGAGTGATTAACCAATGTAATAATAATGTAAAAGCTACCACAACAAAACACTGCAAAAAATAAACCTCTAGGATCCCATCAATGAACCGGTACTTTAAGTAATATCAAGTAGGTTTCAGAAAAGTAGCTGCTAAGTCCTCTGGAATTCAGTAAGGGGAATTGCCCTTCTACTTTCAAGTTACCTAGTATTTGCAAAGTGTATTACATTCTATGGTGATTTAACACATATAGCCTCAAACTTCCCCCAAATAACTTCATAACCTTTGACCTATTTCACTTCAGGAAATTTATCTGTGCAAGGAAATAATTACATTTAAACAAAGATGCATGTATAATTGTGTTCATGGTTGGGCCATTTATAAAAAGTAAGTATAATACGTTAAGAAAATAAATGCTGGTATTTACATAGAAGAGTGTGCTACCTAACAACAATGATTTAATACAGTAATGACAGGGTTCTCTGGTGATTCATTGGTAAAGAATCTGCCTGCCAATACAGGAGACATGGGTTAGATCCCTGGTCCAGGAAGATCCCACATGCCACACAGCAACTAAACCCATGCTTCACAACTACTGACCCTGTGCTCTAGAACCCGGGAGCCACAACTACTGAAGCCTGTGCGCCCTAGAGCCCAAGCTCTGCAACAAGAGAAGCCAGTGCAATAAGAAGTCCTTGCATGCAACGAAGAGTAGCTCCCACTCGCTGCAACTGGAGAAAAGCCCACCCAGCAACGAAGACCAGCAGAGCCGTAAATAAATAAATAAAATTTTTAAAAAAGTGATGACACAGAAAATGCTTACAACATTATGTCAATGGAGAAAAGCGATTAGAAGCATGTATGAAAGTGAATGAAAGTCGCTCAGTCATGTCCGACTCTTTATGACCCCATGGACTGTACAGTCAATGGAATTCTCCAGACCAGAATACTGGAGTGGGTTGCTGTTCCCTTCTCCAGGGGATCTTCCCAACCCAGGGACTGAACACAGCTCTCCCGCATTGCAGGCGGATTCTTTATCTGCTGAGCCACAAGCGAAGCCCAATTAGAAGCATAAAAGAATAAAAACAGAAATGAAACATATGCACATACATGTTTCATAATATATATTAAGGACATATACAAAAATGTTAGTTGCTAGACCTAGGGTAACAGAATTACAGATCTTTATTTTCTCTGTACTACTTTGTGTATTCCAAATTATTTTTCAAAGAAAATTAAATCTTAGAAACCAATTAACAAAAAATGCCAAGTAACACAGTAGAAGTTACGTAAGTTTGCTGAATGAACAATAACGTTTATAAAGTTAAATATCAGCTGAACCTCTTTTTTAAAAACAACACACTTGGTATTTCCTATGGTAAACACACAGTGTACCTACAGTTAGCTGCATCTCACTAGACTGACTGTCTTCAGTTCTTGCTTCGTATTCTGGAACAGAGGCAAGACTGTATTCTCCAGATGTAGATCTTTTAGCTTCATTCTGAGAAACTGCTGTGTGAAAAAGAATTTTTAAAATTTTTACCCAGTTAGTATTTGGTTTTAATTGTCACATTCTTTGTACGGATTTTTACAAAAGCCCTAAAGAAGGGTGTTAAATATTCAGATGTGGGATATCCCTTCACCAATATCTTACAATGAAACCTTAAAAGAGTTTTAAATAGTTTATCTGTTATTTAGCAACTTCATAAGACTGAGTACTACCTTTGATCCCCTGATGCCTATTCTGTGCTGAGTAATCTGTGTTCATTTCTTACGCACCAATTTCTACTGTACTACTGCTGCTGCTGCTGCTAAGTCGCTTCAGTTGTGTCTGACTCTCTGAGACCTCACAGATGTCAGCCCATCAGGCTCCCCCGTCCCTGGGATTCTCCAGGCAAGAACACTGGAGTGGGTTGCCATTTCCTTCTCCAATGCATGGAAGTGAAAACAGAAAGTGAAGTCGCTCAGTTGTGCCCGACTCTCAGCAATCCCATGGACTGCAGCCTACCAGGCTCCTCTGGCCATGGGATTCTCCAGGCAAGAATACTGGAGCAGGGTGCCATTGCCTTCTCCACTGGACTACTGAGCCATATTCTATTGGGCTACTCTAGGTCTTCTTACTAATAATGACACAAATGTTTAAATATAACAAAAATTCAAACTCCAGAAAACAAGGTCTATTACTAGAGAGATCACATTACAACACATTCGACTATTCTGGACTATACGACCATCATTAGGCAATGCTTTTACACTAGCCTTATGTCCAAAATGAAAACAGTCTTACCTGTAATTTTAAGTGTTTCTCTTTGTAATGCTCTGGTGATTGGTATTCTCTGGTACCAGTGTCCAACACCTTCAACTTCCCAAAGGAGTTCATGGTCTCCTGGATATTTTTCAAAGTACTGGTTGCAAGCTGAAAAACACATTGAAATTTTCCTAGAAATCCCAGCAATCAATTGGAATGAACAGTCAAATGCTGTGTAATGTGTATTTTATCACCAAAAAACTGTCTAGGGGACACTGCTCTGGGGAAGACGCCTGGTGTGCCCCTCACTTGACGCAATTGGTAAGTTCTCCTACTCCTTGGTTTGGCTGTGTCTTTTGGCTCAAAACTCATCAAGAGGTGAACCCAGTTTTCAGGCAAGACCTCTAATAGGGCAAATGAGGAGAACTTCTGTGCTTTTTAAATTATATCTATATTTTGGGAAGTGTGAAAATCTAAAGTAATTCTGTAAATATGAATACATAAAAAATAAGTCTGAAATTATTATTTTTTAAAAAACTTAAAAAATTTTAAAATAAGCACACAAAATAATGTTTTATAGTGTGTACAGACAGAGACTTAAGTGTGAAACCATGGGCAGGAAGGATACACACAACTTGAGGAACACAATTATCTCTGGGGAGAAAAAGGTGAAAGGGGGATGGGACTAGGGCCAGGTTCAAAGAGAACATCAACTGTATCTACATCTTGTTTAAGTCTCCATCTAGTTTAATTCTCTTAAAATAAGTGAAAATAAATGAAAATATGCCAAGATCTTAACATCTGTTAATCTGGACACTGAATATGTGGACACCAGCATACCATTTGCTCACTTTTCCCCCATATATTTGACAGTATTTCTCAGGTTCTTTGATTGTAGTTCCCACACCTATTAGGAAGTGAAAAGCTGGAGAAAACTAGTAGGCTACACTGAGTCCTCTGTCTCAATTAAAATAACTAAAATAGTAGAGCATGCATTACATAATACATAAGCACCTGCAGTTCACTTAGGATTCAATTTATTTATCATTAGAATCCTTAAAAAGGGTAAGTAATAAGAGACTCTGCCTACAGTAGATTTGTCTGCTGCTGCTGCTGCTAAGTCGCTTCAGTCGTGTCTGACTCTGTGCGACCCCACAGACGGCAGCCCACCAGACTCCGCCGTCCCTGGGATTCTCCAGGTAAGAACACTAGAGTGGGTTGCCATTTCCTTCTCCAGTGCATGAAAGTGAAAAGTGAAAGTGAAGTCGCTCAGTCGTGTCCGACTTGTAGTGACCCATGGACTGCAGCCTACCAGGCTCCTCTGTCCATGGGATTTTCCAGGCAAGAGTACTGGAGTGGGGTGCCACTGCCTTCTCCGAGATGTGTTGCATCCCTCCCCAAATTTAGTGAAGCAATAATTAAGACTTTAAGAGGAAAATCCATGTTCAGATTACCCAGGGCATACAGGACTCACTCCACTCTCATGTACGGGCCTAGAGAGAAACTGTGAATCAAGATGAGCATGCAATGCTTTGTTTTTGTTTTCTGGATTTTTGACATTAAAAATCAAAAATATTTTTTCAGTGAATATCTGATTCTAGATTAAAATCAATGTAAATTATATACTATAAAAGTTTTCACACAAATCACTCTTCAGTATCAAATCTTACTTCATTAAGAAAAGAGCAATACTACAGGCTTCATACACATACAAATATAAACCCACTAACGGCTTTTAAAACACGACAGCAAAATACATCCACACAATAGAAACAGCATTAAAAAAGAATAAATTGAGCTACATGAATCCACAGGAATAAATCTTATAAAGATGAGTAGAAAAAGCAAACTGCGGAATTCATACAGTACATATTATTCATATAAAGTTTTTTTTTTTTAATTGATTTTCAAGGACTGCATTTAGGGCTTTGGCATGGAAAGCAGAGTCCTAACCACTGGACTACCAGGGAATTCCCTGAAGTTCTTAAACATGTAAAACAATATGACACCAAGACTTTCTGGTGGTCCAGTGGTTAAGAATATGTCCTCCAATGCGGGGCACTCGGGTGTGATCCCTGGTTGGAGAACCAAGATCCCACATGCCTTGGGGCAACTAAGCCCACATGCCACAGCTAAAGTGCCCACCCAGTGCAACTAAAACCCAATGAAGCCACACATGAAAAAGACGATTAAAAAAACATGACACTGTTGGAGAGTGTGTGTGTGTGTGTGTGCGTGTATAAAGTCAAATAAATTTAAAAAAATAAAATTAAATTAAAATTTTAAAAAAAAGTCGAATAAATGCATGGGGAAAAGAAATGCCAAATTAAGGACAGTGCTTGAAGGAAAGTTACACTGCCCAAAATAGCCTGGAGTTAAACTCCCCTCCGGGTCCTCCCCACCATTCTATGCAAAACAAAGAACTCCCTCACCCGAAGAAAAACAAATGGACACTAAGGTTGATTTGCCCAGCTTCCAGCCTGTCCAGCCTCTGGCTGATCTCCAGAATTCCTTGCCCCAGCCGTTTAAGAGAGAACCACTCTGAACAATCTTGGAGAGCAGGCCCCCTTAAGACAGTAGATTTCCACATACATGCCCGTGTACACTTACTCTTTTCTTGGGGTGGTGCAGCGGCTCACTAATCTGACTGCTGCCCCTTCTCGCCTCATTAACGGTGACCTGCTCCTGCACAGGGCCGGTCTCGTTCTTTTCCTGAACCTGGCCTTCTCTAACTCCGTGCCCTACAGTGCTTATATCAAGGGAGGGAGGGAGTAAGCTAACTGGATAGGACAGGAGTACAACTACATCCGCAACAATCCACTTCTCATGGATGCTCCATGCTGGACGATACATGAGTATTTTGTTACCTCCTACTTTTTTTTGTATATATGAATTTTTTAATTTAAAAAGCTACCACAGGGATTCCCCTGGTGGTCCAGTGGTTAAGACTCTGCACCTCTAACGCGAGGGGTGAGGGTCTGATCTCTGGTCAGGGAAATGAGTTCCCACATGCGTTGCAGCACGACCAAAAAGAAAAAAAACCTACCATAGACAAATAACAAATAACCCAAAGAAAGAATGGTTAAAGGATCTAAATATACATTTTTCCAAAGATGATACATATATGACTAATAAGCACATGAAAATATGTTCAACACCAAATGCACATCAAGACAATGAGACGCCACTCCACATCCACTGAGAGGGCTACAGTAAAAGACAAATAACGGGAGTTTTCCGGCAGTCCAGTGGTTAGGGCTCTGCGCTTTCACTGCCAAGAGTGAGGGTTCAATCCCATCCGGCAACTAAGACCCCATAAGCCTTGCAGTGTGATCAAAACTTAAAAAGTTAAAAGGACAAGTAATAGTACGTATTGGTGAGGATGCAGAGAAACTGCAACCCTCATACAATGTTTACGAGAATGTAAAATGGTGCAGCTGCTTTCAGAACAGTTTGGCAAGGTTATGACCAAGCTATTTCATCCACACCTAGATATACACCAGTGCAATGTTCACACAAAAACTGCACAAATGTTCACAGTAGCATTATTCCTAATATCTAAAAAGTAGAAACAATCCAAGTCTATCAACTGATGATGTCATATCCACACAACAGAATATTTCTCAGCCATTAAAAAAAAAAATGAAGCACTGAGTCAGACTACAACATGGATGAACCTTGAAAACATTTATGCAAAATGAAAGAAGTTAGACACAAAGAAGTTACAATACATCATACAATTACAATTACATACAATTTCATATAAATTATGAAATCTCCAGAACAGGTAAATCCATAGACACAGAAAACAGATCAGTCATTGGTTGCTAGGGGATGAAGGAAAGGAGGAACGGAAGAGTGACTGCTAACTGGTACAGAGCTTTGGGGGATGTTGAGAATGTTCTAAAATCAGATACTGGTTATGGTTGCAAGCTGTGAAATAATAAAACCACTGAACTCTACACTTTATGCGGGTGGATTTAATGGTTTGTGAATTCTATTTCAATTCCTTTAAAAAAGCTACCATACCCTCAAAATGTCATTTATGTGAGGTTAAGGGCACATTTGCAAAATGCCATTTATGTGAGGAAAGGGCACATAGACTCTCTTGACCCTGGAGAGTCAAGAATGTAATTTACTTAATACTGACATACAGACCTTTAAGATAAAGTGGAGAAACAAGTCCAAAGTGACACTGAGACAAGGTTACCGTTCTAAAGACTTAATGCGATTACCTATGTACATGAGCGAGGTCAGAGGGTACCGCAAGCCAAGTGCGTCTTCTGTGAAGGAATCAACAAAGTCCTCCAGCATGTGAAGCCCACAGTCTCTGCCGCGATCTTTCTTTCTCACAAACATTGTGTCCAGAACTGGCAGCTGGTAGCTTTGGGTGAGAAATGAGGCACACGTGCTTCCTGCAGTCGTAAAACAGAAATCCAACAATTTTTCACACTTAAAAGACCATGTAGGTATATATATTTAGAGAACATGAGTTAAATCTGAAATTGGTTATTTTTTCTTACATCACGAATGTTAAATCAATGCATAAATTTTACAATATAAAATGCTTTCCAACTATTACATATCATAATGTATACCTGAGATGATGAGAACTATTTTACAGCTGCAAACAGTATCTCATGCAAATTAACTGTTACCATTTGATGAACTGTATGCTTGAATACATATCTCTTTCCAGACCTGTACAACTTCAAAGCTCATCAACTATTAAAATTTAAAGAGCATCTGGTGATTGCATAAGTACACGAAGTAACTAATTCTAACCTTAATATGTGAATATTCATCTTTTCCCTTTACTTTTTCCCTAGTGAGTACAGTTTCATTTTTATCTACTTAATGACGGCAAAGAAGTGAATTAGTTCTCCAAATTTTTAAGGACTATGGATTAGGACTAAATGGAAATATTGGTTTTAGAAACAGCTAAGTCAGCAATCTTTCCTCTGTGAATACACTTTTTAAACTAGCCTGAAAATTTAAGGTTTAATAGGAGAAATGTTTGTAGTAGTAACTAAATATGCCTCCCCTTATTATATTACAGAGCTACACTGATTTGTCTTTTGAGAACCCTGATTTGGGTTTTGACCCATCAAATAGATGTATAAGCTTCTATAATGTAACTTAAGATAGTTTATAAGTAGAGGACATCATGGTGGAGTATCCCACGTTCTAAGTTAGGTATCAGTCAGTTTTCTACTCTTTTAGTACTTCCAGTAAAACAATTATTCTCAGTTATATTATTCATGTGATTTTGGATACTTATAATGATGTAGTTCAAGAAAGAAACAAAACTTCAAGCACCAAACCTTTCACAAATTAACTTTTAACCAATCATATCATTTAATGAGATGGTCAATATAGCAAGGCTTTTTAAGTTCAACCAAATAATGAATTACTTATTATTAACTGGAGAACTTCAATAACTTTTTGCAATAATCTCTACAAGAGATTATCCACTCCAGGATTCTTGCCTGGAGAATTGCCATGGACAGAGAAGCCCGGTGGGCTATACAGTCCATGGTGTCACAAAGAGTCAGACACGACTGAGCGACTAGGCACACACACTAAGACAATGAATTTAAATTCAAAACCGGTGGCACGCTGTTACATGCTTAGAACTGAACCGCTGTTCTTCAGTTAGGACGCCAGGAAGGGTCCAAGTGTCTCACATAGTGGCTGTAATTAACAACGCTGCTCTATACACATTAAATTTATTAAAAAGGTAGATCTCAGACTTCCCTTGTGACTCAGTGACAAGGAATCCACCTGCCAATGCCGGAGCCGCACAAGACTCGGGTTTGATCTCTGGGTAGGGAAGATCTCCTGGAGGAGGAAAGGGCAACCCACTCCAGTACTCTTGTCTAGAAAATTCCATGACAGAGGAGCCTGGCAGGCTACAGTACATGGAGTAGAAAAGAGTTGGACAGAACCGAGTATGCAAACCAAAAAAAAAAAAGTAGATCTTAAACATTAGCATCTCAAAAAAGAAAGGAAGAGGGCTTCTTTGGTGGCTCAGTTGTAAATATGTATACGTGAAACCCAATGCAGGCGACAGGGGTTCGATCCCTGGTCCAGGAAGATCTCACATGCCACGGAGCAGCTGAGCCCGTGTGCAGGAACCACAGTGCTTGTGTTCTAGAAACACGGAGCCACAGCTAGTTAACCCCGAGCACCTGGGAGCCCGTGCTCTGCAACACGAGAAGCTACGCAGTGAGAAGCCTGCACGGCCACCCAGAGGGCACCCCCGCGCGCTGCAGCTAGAGGAGGCCCTGCACCGCAACAGACGCACAACACAGACAAAAATACGGCAAGTTACACACACACACACTATACACAGAAAAGAAAAGAAGGAAGAAAGAAAATGGCAACCATGTCAGGCAATTAATATAATGATTATGGTGAATATGTTGCCATGTGTATCAAATCACAACTCAACTTATCAATTACACTCAATAAATCCAAAATAAATACGTAAAATTTTCATCAGTCTAACGGGTAGCCTCACCAACAAGCTACTGTGACTAGCTTTTTTAATGTCTTAAAATTAGGGTTCTCGCATAGTAACTGCTAGAAGTGATAAAGAAGTCAAGAGACATTACTTTAAAAGTAACATTAATTCAAAGAACAAAGCAAAAATGAGAAGAGAATCGTATCTAGTTCGTAACACTGTCTGAAGATCTATTGCTTTTACTGTTGTACATGTCTCAGAATACCAAATATATGAAGTAAATTTCCCACAAATTGATTTTTTTTCTATCTTTACACAAACATTCCTTTAAATAGAGAAAAGGTAGAGTCTAGCATCTAATAGTGTTAACAAGGTCAATTTATGGAACTAACAGTTTTCACAAAGTCTAAAGTTCTACTTACTCACCATGTACATATTCATTTCAAAAAACCATGCTAATTATCTTCTTGCGACTATACCTTAAATTCTTATTTTTATATTTCTATCAGGTTCTACCCAGATATAATAGAAATTAAATAAAGGGCAGAAAAACTTCCCAAGTTACCAGAGATTCTTCAGATACATCAACAGCAAAATTACTTAGTAATTAGTAAAGAAAAAAAAAAACCTACAACCTTAGATGAACTTTTCATTAAAAATCTAGTTGAAATGAAATTTAATTTAGCATTGCACAAGAGGCAGCTTGGATATTTATACTCCTCAGAATTTCACCTTTGGCCACCTTTTTCTATATGCTCTCTCTAGGTAATCTCACCTACTCTCACGGTTTCTACCATTTATTCAAATGCTTATGATAACAACCTTTTATTTCTGTAATGCATGAAACTTACTCCAGGATGAATGGAAGAGCTCATATAAATGTAAATACAACAAAAAACACACAGTCATCTCCAAATACAGAGAAAAAGCATTAGACAAAATCCAGCACATTTATGATAAAAATACTCAAGGTCTTCAATCTGATAAAGGGATCTATGAAAAACCCCGCAGCTAATAAAAACCACACTTAATGGTGAAAGACCAGATATTTTCCCCTAAGATTAAGAACAAGATAAAAATGTTAATTCTCACCACTTTTATTCAATATCTTAAGGAGGTTCTAGCAGGGCAATTAGGCAAGAAAAGGAAAGGAAAAGCACCTAGAAAGAAATAAAACCTTCTTGTATATAGACCTTAAGATTTTCATCTTAAGAAATTCACTAAAAAATTACTAAAACTGGTAGTTTATAAAGTTCAGCAAGGTTACAGGATATAAGATCAATATACAAAAATCAATTAAGGACTTCCCTGGCAGTCCAGTGCTTAACACCTTGGGCATCCACTACAGGGTGCGTGGGTTTGATCCCTGGTTGGGGAACTAGGATCTAGACCCTCACGTGCCTTGCAGAGTGGCCAAAAAAAAAAGAAAATTCAATTGTATTTCTAGACACCAGCAATGAACAATCTTTAAATGAAATTAAGAAAACAATTCCACTAACAAGAGCATCACCAAATAATAAAATACTCAGGAATAAATTTGGCAAGAATACAAAAGTGAAAACTACAAACATTTAAAAGAAATTAGGGACCTCCCTGGTGGTCCAGGGGTTAAGAATTTGCCTGGCGACGCAGAGGACACAGGTTCCATCCCTGGTTAGGGAACATCCCACATGCCGCAGAGCAACTAAGGCCATATGCCACAACTACTGAAGCCCACGCACTCTTGAATCCCTGCTCTGCAACGAGAGATCACTGCAATGAGAAGCCTGCACACCACAACTAGAGAGTAGCCCCGCTCACCCCGACTAGAGAAAGCCCATGCACAGCAACGAAGAGCCCCTGGGATGCAGTGAAGACCCATCACAGCCAAAACTAAGTAATTAATTTTTCAAAAAACCAAAGGAATTAAAGAACAGTTAAATAACTGGAAAGACATCCCATTGTTCGTGATTCAGAAGACAACATTGGTGTCAGCACACCCCAAACTGACCCATAGGTTCAAAATTCCAGCTGGATTTTTTGCAGAAATTGACAAAGTAATCCTAAAACTCATATGGAAATGCAAAAAAACACAAATGACCCAAATAATCTTAACAAAGAAGAACAAAGGTGGAAGACTCCCAATTTAAAGACTTCCCATTTTAAAAGTTACAAAGCTACAGTAATCAAGCCAGTATGGTACTGGCACAAGAATAAATAGCAATCAACAGAATAGAAGCTGCAGAAACAAAACCTCTTATTTTTGGTCAACTGATTTTTGACAGGAGTCCCAAGGCATTTCTCTGGAAACACAACAGTCTTTTTAAAATGAATGGGGGTGGGCCAACTGGATATCCACATACGAAAAGAATAATGTTGGGCCCCACTCCACTTTTTTAGACCACATACAAAAATTAACTGCAAATGGAACATAAACATAACTTTACGTGCTAAAACTACAAGAATCTTAGCATAAAACGCAGTAAATTTTCATCACCTTAGATCAGGAAAAGTCTTCTTAGCTGAAACACCAAAAGCAAAAGTGACACATAAAAAGATAACTGGACTTTAAAAAAAAATAAAATAAAATAACTGGACTTTATAAAAACTAGTGCTTCAAAGAACATCAACAATAAAGTAAAAAGACAATCCACAAAATGAGAGAAAATCCTTTCAAATTATGTATTTGATATGGGACTTCTATCTAGAATATATGAAAAGTGCTTACAACTCACTAATAAAAAGACAAATAAAACCCAACTTAAAAACGAGCTAAGGATTTAATAGACATTTCTCCAAAGACATACAAATGGCCAACAGGGATATAAAACATGTTCAATGTCTCAAATCATCAGGATAACAGCAAATCAAATGAGTATCACCTCACACATATCAGGATTGCTACCAGCAAAACAAAAGACAACAAATGCTAACAAGGATATGGAAAATTGGAACACTTGTATTCTATTA